GTTTCACCGGAGACCTACATGCGCACATGTCACAACTGAGTCTTTGGAACGGCAGGTTGATGGACGAATTGACGTTCTGAGATTTATTTGCCCCTAAAAGGGGCCATGTGGTAAATGCGATGGACCAACCCATGAGCTAGATCGGAGTCCAGCGAGCGTTATCAAGAATATGCACACACAGCAAATACCAACATTAAAGATGTGGTGGTGCTCCCAGATGCAGGCTCACGCCATGCCAACTGAGATCCAGGTAGTCCTCCCCTTGTTTTTGCTGTATAAAATCCTGGTTACTGCACGTTGTCGACCAGGGGCGTGGTGGTACGCCTGGCGCGAGTCCGGCCGTGCCAGCCACTTGAGCACTCTCCCGCCTCCGGTCTTCTTGACTATGTTTTGACGCCGGACTCGGGTAGGGGAGGAGGAGGGAGTGCGGTAGATGTGGTGCAAGTTTACAATCTCTAGAAACTGACTCACGCGTAAATCACCTTCTCTGCTCCTAACCACCTGTGGAACACACGGTAGACATCGTAGGTCACGACGGTCTACCTGTCGGGTCATATTTGTGTCTGGTTTATAATTCACATACAGATGCCAGTTATTCCCCCCCCCCCACAATCAAGGCTCGCTGATTTTATTTACCGAGAATTACTTTCACATAGGACCATCCTTTTGTTTGCTTGGCATCTGAGCTTTGAGAAGGACGAAATGACTCAGCGCAGGGAAAATATTAGAATAAGCTCAGGCATAAAACAGCAGCCCGGTGTAGTCTTGGCGCACTTTTCAGACACCTTTCTTACCCTATGGCGTCATTCATCGCCAACCCTCATCGTGCCCATCACTCTCAGCAGACACTTGTCCTGCATTTTGACCCACACCATCTTATCTAGTGTTTGTGAGAGGTCACCATCAACTTCCTGTGATTCTAGAAATCACACACAAAAATACTGGGTTGCTCGAATTTGTTTATGTATCCCTTGGTACAATGACATGGTAGACAATTTCAACACAGCACTGACCGCGTACTCTTGTTTGTTAATACACGTGGACCCATGAAGTTTATAGATAAAGAGGCGACAAAACGCAACGCATACCGCATCGTGCAGGTCTTCTCAGGCCCCTTTTAAAGTCCGGCCCCACCAAAATTGCAATAAAAAGTCGCATCGGCCAGCCATCATCAGATAGATGACCGAGGCGTTATATTTTTTTCCGGAAATCATAAGTCATTCAGAAACCGTCGTGCCAGACAAATAAAGAGGGTATTTGGACACGGCGGATTTTTTTGCCAATTTAAATGACTCTGAAACGCTGTACATAGACAAAATGATCATTCAGAAACTTCAAGAGCCCTCCTGTACACGTAAACACTTAAATCACCCAGAACGCGAAGTCCAGTTCTCCGTTATAATGAAGGTATCCAAATTTGGATTGAAGACAACCTTGCGGCTCTTATTCTCTGCCGACAGGGAGACGCGCTGCAGGGACCTCGGCAATTAACTTCCTGCAACTTTTTTGTCTGAGACGGTTCTGTCATTATGCAGAAGACCAATCTGCTGACTTATGCCGGCCATATTTTTTGTATTCCCTTCATATTCCATCAAGAAAACTGAACAAAACTCCACTAAATTGACTTCTGCTGAAATTTTTATTTTGATCCAGAGAGTGTACGACCCTCAAAGGCCTGTCACGACATGCAATCTAGCCTAGATGTCTCTGTCGGCTCCACAAAACATTGCTCAGGAACAGCGGCGGAGATGAGCCCAATCACTCTAACTGGACTTATTCTCTCAAAGAGGATGGGAGAAGTTGTGTTGGAGATTCTGGCTAACGCGTTCGGGCCACTGTCACCTGAGGCCCTTTTTATAGAGATGTTTCAAATATCTGGTGACATTCCATTCTTGCACAGATTGACGAATAAAAATCCTACTGAATGATTTTTCTGACACTCAAAAGCACTCATTTTAATTTTCCGGAATCCTGTGGATCATTTGGGTCATGTTTGCTCCTTTTTACCAGTTAGCTCAGCTCCGTCAAAGGATAATTCTGGATGCATGATGTGAGTAGATTATTCCACCTATTGAACAACAGCTGTACAACCTATCACTATTGCCCCTGAAGCCCTTGTCCGATCACCAATCGCGTCAAATCCACCAAATTAAAGCAGACACAAATAAGACTTTGCGGAAATGAATTTGAGATGAGGACCTTTATTAAGTAAGGATTTTGTAAGGCAGTTGATGGCAAGGATTGATAGGAGTGAGTGACTGATGTGGTTAACAAAGGCGCATGGAGGTCTAGCGCACAGTAGCAAACCTGCAGCAAGTGAGTCACCAAAAGTTGGGGCAGGAAGTGCGATTCAACTGCTGACAGGGCAAAGATATCTCCGGCACACAGGAGCGACGTACGTGAACGGCCCCATGCAATTTTGCTGCTATAAGAATATCCAACTTTGTGTTTCACTGAAAGTTCGCTGTCCAGAGGTGAAGAAAGGTCATAATTAGTCGATATGGAACCGCAAGGTCAACCTATTTGTAACATGATCCGATAGCAGGACGGTTGTCGTGCCCACACGAGTACCTTATTTAATAGTACCTCTTAGGTCTTCCTTTGCACCCAAGACAGGCAGAGGTGGTCTGTTCGCAGGATTACATCCTTAAAAACGGAATCGGCATAAGATTGACACTAGATCGGCCGTTCCCTCATCCAACTATATCCGGTTTACTTTTGCGTGGGACAGCCTTCTCAGTCCCTTTTCTGCAGCGGCATCGGGTTGATCGAAGGTGCTTCGACTGCAAACTTAAGCAGACGTACTGACAGTCCAAACTCACGTTTCCGAGTTCTATTTAGCCCATGCATTTCTCGTTTTCCGAAAAAAACTTTTGAAGTGATGAGTATTTCAGGAAACACGGATGATTTTGGCAGGCTGCTGCTTCAGAGCCTCCTCATGCTGCTCACATAAGAACACCACAAACCAACACTTGAGGGTGCAAAAACTATGCGAATATGTAAAAATAGCTCATATGCGAAGAGTAACAGACGAATCACTAGAACTGCTGAACCATATCATCATCAATACCTACTGGGCTAGTAAGTTGGTAAATGAATGACGCACCGATCTGTATGATTTTTCAGGACAGTGAGTTCCAAGATTTGCTGACGGGACGACAAATATGCAACCGTCGAACAAAATGCAAAGTGTGAATATCTGATTATGAGGTTTATGTTCTATCTCGACGGGTATGATGGGCGAGAATAAAGACGGGTTCTGGAGACGAATACTTTGTTATAGATCGCAGAAAACAGCAGACCCCTTAGCTCGTCAACTCTCACCTATTTGCTGGGGTTCTGGCCGTTCTCAATCTTCCGGCCGATGGCGTGCAAATCGCGGTGGGCATTCTGGAATAGTCTGGTCTATCGCGTTTTGCGCGTTGATTGGCCATTTCCCACACCAGAAGCCCCTCGCGGAATCTTTTCGAATATTTGGGCTGCACGCGTGAGCAAGGACTTAACACGCATTCGATACAGCAGTGCACGCTGATTGGCTGGCTGGTTTCGCGGGCGTATTTCCCGGCGGGCTTGGCCTGCTGCGACGCTGGTGGTCACGTGTTTTTTCGCTTAAGGCCGCGATTTCATTGTGGTTCCCGTCTCCATAACAGTTTATTTTACGGGTCAGTGCCGCAGAAGTGGATATAGAATATAGCCACCAGGATTAGCGTAATTGGTCACCGGAGAAGAGAAGGAGAGTGTGCTGAATATAGAGGAAGGTGTTAATCCCACGGGCAATTCAGTCAATCAGTGGATAGGCAGCACGCTGGGGTGGAGGGGTGTCCATTTGTTGATCCACGTGAAGGTCGTATTAAGTCGCTCACTTGTTTGCAGGTGTGACTAAGCCTAGCGTCCATTATGTGACAGTTCGACCATCGATTTCGATGATGTCCACCGTGTGCCCCACTGTTGCAGCAGCAATGGGAGCAGGGACGGTGACTTACGCAGGGGTTTATAGTGCCAGTAGACTTGCGTAGCATCTACCTACACTCTCTCCTCCTCCCTCGCCCGAGCCCGGCGTCAAGACAGAGTCAAGAAGACCGGAGACGAGAGAGGCCGCAGGTGGATGGCTCGGACGGATCTTCACCTTGGCGTTCCACCACACCCCCTGGTCCACACAACAAATGACCAGGATTTTAACCAATCACAACAGAGATTTGGAGGCTGGCACGACCGAAGCCGCACCTGGGCGTGCCGCCAACGCCTGGCTCGGATCCCACACTGTGATGGGAGTGCCATAAAGGCCACATTAAAAAGGAGCCATTGCAGCCTGACTCTCAGACCGCCTCCGGTCAAGGAGGAGGTCCAAGTTACCCCGTCAGTTGGCAACCTTCCAAGCCACGGCTTTTAGCGCACCGTCATAGCTTCAAGCGCGTCAGATTGTTTATAGTGAGGAGAAAGTGCGCTGAGTCGTCGACCTCACGCTCCCTTCCCACTCCCACACCCCAGCCGCTGTCCGAGCCGGTCAGTAGACTGGAGTGGGGAATGGGCGCGGTGGCTGTCATGGTCGACTGATCATGACTGCGCGCGCCACGGCACGACCTGGCCCCCCATACACACAACACCAGGATTTCACACAACGGGGGTAGAACGGCGTGTCTCTCATTTGCGTGAGAGTGCCGTGGAGGGTGCTGTTTCAGCCCGTCCCCAGCCCACCAGTCCGCCACTCCACACAAAACACACACATACAACGCGACGAACTGCGTGAACCGAGAGCGGGCGTCAATCAGCAACCTTCCTATCCACGACGCTTGAAGTGTCAGGATAGTCTCGGACTCAAGTCACCCGTGCAGCCGAAGCCGCATGGGGACCGAGTCGAGATGCGGACTTCCCACTTGCGTGGGATGTGGCAGTTGGGTGCATGAGGTGTGTGAGTGTTGATTTCTGGTGGGGTGATGGTGGTGGTGGTGGTGGAGGAGGAGGTAGGGAGTGAGTGAATGTGTGGTGTGACCGGCGGTTGTCTACCGCAGGTCGTCGTGGATGCGCATGTGGCCGAACAGGCCCATGAGATGCCTGAAAGTGCGAGGGCAGTGTGGGCAGTGGAGGCGAGTGCTGTGGGTGTAGGTTGGTGCTTCACGCACTAGTTCGCCAGTCTCTGTGCGATGGATTCGCAAGTGACCGACCAGGCCGATGTGTGAGGTGAAGGCACGGTCGCAGTGAGGGCAGGTGTAGTCCTGATCCTCATCACTGGAGTCGGGGGAGGTGGTGGTAGTGTCGGTTGTTGCGGGCGGGACAGTCGCCTTAGCGGCTGCCGTTGGAGCAGTGGGCAAGGAGGAGGGGGAGGATGATGGAAGTGGTGGGTCAGAAGAATTGTCAGAGTTAGTTGGCGGCGGAGAGGAGGAGGAGGAGGAAGAGGCGGGCGGGGGAACGATGGCTGGTGCCGTTCGAGAGGCGCAGTTAATCCGAAGATGCCCAAAAGGTCCGATTCAAGCCCGGAATGTCCGTTGACATCGAGGACACGTTGGGAGCGGTTGTGCGGCGGCGTTGCGTACGGGGCGAAGTTGTGATTTGCGGGCTTCGCGTTTCGCTTTGGCGGCAGCGATGCGGTTGGCTTCGTAGATCGCAGCGCCTGTCTTCACTGTCCTCCTCCAGGTCGGTCGATCGAGTGCGAGCTCCTCCCAGTTGATGGGGTTGATTTGCAGGTGTTTCAGGGAGGACTTCAGGGTATCTTTGTAACGGCGAATCTGGCCTCATGACGGCGAGAACCCGTCGCGACGTCTCCGTAGAAGACTCGTTTGGGTAGTCGCTCCTCGTCCATGCGCACCAGGTGGCCGCTCCAGCGCAGCTGAATTTGCCTCAGTATGGCGTAGATGCTGAGGATTCCCGTACGTTCCAGCACATCAGTGTCGGGGATTCGATTCTGCCACTTCAGCCTCAGGATGCGACGAAGACAACTGAGGTGGAAGTGGTTCAGACAACGCGCCTGCTTTGCGTAGACCGTCCAAGTCTCCGCTCCATACAGTAGTGTCGGCAGGATGACGGCCTTGTACATCTTCAGCTTCGTGCTCAGCTGAAGACCGTGGCGATTCCAAACTGTGCTTTGGAGGCGACCGAAGGCTTGACTGGCTTTCGAGATCCTGTTGGCGACTTCGTCGTCGATCTTGGTGTTGCGGGAGAGAGTACTGCCCAGGTACGGGAAGTTCTCCACCACTTGCAGTTGGGTTCCGTTCACGCTGATTTGCGGCGGCGCGTTGGGGGCTGTGGCTGAGTGGGGTGGCGGTTGGTGCATCACCACCGTCTTCTGCGTGTTAATGACCAGACCGAAATTCTCGCAGGCGGCGGAGAATAGGTCCATGCTCCGTTGCATCTCCTCATTCGAGGTGGTGTTCAGGGCGCAGTCGTCGGCGAAGAGGAGTTCATGAACTGTGGTTGTGGATACGCGCGATTGGAAGTGCATCCGCCGTTGATTCAGGAGGTGACCGTCCGTCCTGTAGGCGATGCAGATCCCGGGGTTTTCGTCGCGGTAGGCGTCCAGCAGCATGACAGAGGACATAAGACTGAAGAGGGTAGGCGCCTGTACGCAGCCCTGCTTCACTCCATTGGTCACTGCGAATGCCTCTGAGACAGCTCCGTTGTCCGTGACTCGCGCCATCATACCGTCGTGCAGCTGACGCACCATCTGAGTGAATCGCTCCGAACAGCCGAATTTCTGCATGAGCTTCCACAGTCCTTCACGATTCACCGTGTCGAAGGCTTTCGTCAGGTCCACGAAGATAGAGTACAGGTGGGTCCGCATCTCCTGACACTTCTCCTGAGGTTGACGGGCGGCGAAGATCATATCCGTGGTCCCACGATGACGACGGAAGCCGCATTGGCTTTCCGGCAGAAGGCCCTGTTTCAGATGGTTATTGAGGCGGTTGAGAAGGATGCGGGCGGAGAGCTTCCCGCCGATGTTCAGCAGGGAGATGCCGCGGTGATTGTCGCAGATTTGGCGATTCCCTTTGCGCTTGTAGAGATGCACGATAGTTGCGTCTTTGAAATCTTGCGGGACTTCACCTTGACGCCACATCTCTTGGAAGAGCGCAGTCAGGTGATCCATCAGTTGGGGACCTCCGTGCTTGTAGACCTCAGCAGGGATCGCGTCCGATCCGGGTGCTTTCCCGCTGGAGAGCTGCTGCACGGCCCTGATGGTCTCCTGGAGAGATGGCGGAAGGTCGAGGTCCACGTTGGTCGCCACTTGCGGCAAGCGGGCGATGGCGGCGTCGGAGATGACGGAGGGGCAGTTGAGGACGCCTCGGAAATGCTCGGCCCATTGCTGTAGGATTTGCGTCTTCTCAGTCAGGAGAGTGTTGCCGTCGGCGCTGAGGAGAGGGGCAGTGGCCTTCGTCGGCGGACCGTAGACAGCTTTGATCGCAGAGAAGAAGTTCTTCCATTTGTTGCGGTCCGCGTATCCTTGGATCTCCTCAGCTTTGCGAGCAGTCCAAGCGTCCTGCATCTCGCGCAGTCGTTGCTGAAGTTGGTGGCGACTGCGGTAGAAGGCAGCTTTGGTGGCATCAGTGGGGTGAACTACGTAGGCTTTGTGTAGGCGGTTCTTCTCAGCAAGCAGATTTCTGATGGCGGCGTCGTTGTCGTCGAACCAGTTCTGGTGTTGGCGACGTGCGCGACCGAGGACGGCGAGCGCCGTCGACTGGACCGTGTCTCGCAGTTGACACCAACGGTTCTCCACGGAGGCGTTCTCGGCAGCGGCGGCGTCGGCAACGATGGGAAGGTTGTCTAGCCTTTGAGCTAGCTCATTGCTGTAATGAAGATGGTGAGCGGACAAAGACAACAAGGCAACATTCAGCTTACCCGGTGGTCGCTTACCTTGTTGTCTCCTGCGAGGCTGTAGGCGAATACGCATCTTCGAGATGACGAGGCGATGGTCGGTCCACCCGTCAGCGCCCGCGATCGCCTTTGTCACCAGCGCGTCCCGTTGATCTCGCCTCCGGACGAGGACATCGTCCAGCAGGTGCCACTGGCGCGACCGAGGATGCCTCCAGGTGGCCTTCTCTCACTCCGGCAGACAGAAGAAGGTGTTCGTCAGGATGAGGCGGTGTTCTGCGCAGGTGCGGAGAAGCAACAGACCATTGTCGTTTGAGCCGCGGAGACCGTGGGGACCCAGCACTCCTCTCCAGGCAGTATGGTCTGTGCCGACGCGGGCGTTGAAGTCACCAAGGACAATCAACTTGTCCGCCTTCGACACAGTCGCCAAGAGGGCGTGCAGGTCCTCGTAGAATTTGTCTCTTGCGGCGGCGTCGGGGTTGGTCATCGTCGGAGCATAGGCGCTGATGATGGTGGCGAATTTGCCTCCCCAGAGAGGCAGGCGGAGGCTCATCAGGTGATCGTTGATGCCCTGCGGCAAGCAGGGCAGTCGTCCCACGATGTCGTTCCGAATGGCGAAGGCGACACCCGCGTCCCGTCGCTCTGCCCTGGGTCGACCGCTCCAGAAGAAGGTGTAGCCGGCACCCACCTCCTCCAGTTGGCCTTGTTCGGAGAATCGGGTCTCCCTGAGTGCGGCGATGTCCACCTTGTAGCGCGCCAGTTCTCGTGCCACTAGCGCCGTCCTCCGTTCCGGTCGGTTGCCCCTCGGATTGTCTAAAAGGGAACGAACATTCCAGGCTGCCAGAGTGATCGGGCTCATCCTGCCAGTCTGGTGACAACGAATGGGGCGACGGGAAGGAGATGGAGAAGAACGTGACGAAGGAGAAGAATAGGCAGAGGAAGAGGAAGAAGAGGTAGGATGAGGAGAATGAGTATGGTTGTTGTTGTTGTTGTTATTGGTATTGTTGATGTTTCGATTTTGATTGTTTCGACCATGATTAGGCGTCTGCGGCCCTGGCTAGCCTGGAGGCGGCGTGGTACCCAGCAATGTTTAGGCCACTTTTTCTAGGCCCTTCCCCTCGTGAGGGCTGGCAGTGCCCTCCCTGAATAGGGCTGCCATGTGCCGTTGTGGCACGGCCGAACTCCACTATGGGGCCACGACTTCGGGTTGTAGTGGAGAGCGACTCGAATTCGCCGTAAGCCGCAGTCTCCGACGGCGTAGGTGGGCGCGTCAAGGCGATGTCGATGTGGAGATCCATCCCGTCACCGGCTGTCCAGCGGCGTGCAGAGACGAACCACGTCACGACGGTGCCGACGCAAGGTTCCATCCGACCTTCCATCCAGCGGAATCCGCAAACCCTGTGCACACGGCACAGCGCACAGGGCCCCTTCACCTGGTTTAGCCCGCCGGTCGAGACGGTTGCCCGGGGTGTGGCCGATGAGCAGAGTCCAGCTACGTGGAGCCACAGTTGAGTGCCAGCAAATGGACGCTAGGCGCAGTCTCACCTGCAAGCAAGGGAGCGACCACCACGACCATTACGTGAACCCACCGCTGACACCCCTACACCCCAGCGTCCATTAACTGGCACAAAACTCTCACATGTGGCTCCTCGAAACTGAGCTCCGTCCAGCGGTCACACCCCGGCAACCACCTCGACTGGCGGGCTAAACCAGGCGAGGGTATCCGTGTGTATCCCCTGCAGTAATTCTGCCCACCCCCATCCTCCTCCTCCTCCTCCTCCTCCTCCTCCTCCACCACCGCCTCCTCCTTCTCCTCATTCTCCTCCTCCCCCCTTCTCCG